ATGCCTTATTCTCTAAAAAGCTTAAGGAAATCTAGAAAAAAACATTATTTTGCATTCCATCTGCTTTTTCACCAGTGTTTAGAAGATAAATATCCCTTGACATTTTAACCAATAAACAAACAAACCAAAAGGCTAGAGGCAGCAACTCAAATATGGTAAATAATACCAGATTTCCCTTTCTCATCATAGTTTGCATGTCATTTGACAATTTAGTTTGATTTTTCAGTTTTTCCCAAACTGAATCCTACAGTTCTAAGTATGTAAGGCTCTAGGTGCAGGGCAATGGAGCCCCAGTTCCTGGAGGGATCTCCTAAAGCTGCTGCCTCTGCCTCTGATTGGCCTGTGCCTTTCATTGCGCGCTATGGAAGAAGCAGAACTGTAGAGTATATCATGTATGCAGTCTGAAACAGTTCTGCAGCACAAGAGGCATTGCTCTCTAGAAGGCAGCATTTCTCGCTTTCCACAGAGCACATCTTGGTAGTATGAAGCAGTGAGAGGCACAAACACCTCCATGTATTCACAATTCCTTTAAGCTCCTAACAGAGAAACAAATGTTCTCACTCACTGGTGTCCTAGCAGGAGAGAGGGGACATGAAAACCTAAAACATTCAATGGAAAGAGGAAATCTCTTCCTCCTGTCCCTCATGACCTGTGATTGTGGTTAGGTTTGGCCTCATCCTGGGGCTGCTGCTGCTGGAAAACATGGAAACTTGCTACGGCTCTGCCACCATGACTGTCCTCCAGCTGGGGACAGCATAGTCCCTGCTCATAGCAATGTCAGTGCTCTTTCCTGTACCCTTTGCATGCACAGAGCTTTTCCTGCTGGTGGCCGCATCCTACAGTCAGTACTGGGCTGAGGGCCATGCCTGCTGTCTGCAAGAGTCACGGATGGAAGAGTTGTCTCCAGAAGGCAGCTACACCTTGGCTAGGGGGATTTCAGCCACCTACAGCAATCATTTCATTCTTGTCCCACATACATTTTGTGGCTCCAATGTACTGGACCACTTCTTCTGTGGTTTTGCCCTAGTGCTGGAACTCTGACACTCATGCTGAACCATGACACTCTTTGCTTTGATAACCTGCTTTTTTAGATCCAGTCATCCCTTTCCTGTTGACTCTGGCATCCTATGTGTACATGAGAGCTGTCACCCTGGGCCAGCTCTCCTCTCCAGCAGGCAGAAGGCCTTCGCCACCTTCTCCTCTCACCTGACTTAGAATACAATAGTTAGGGTTGGAAAAGATCTTAAGATATCCAGTTCCAACTCCCTTGCCAGGGTCACCTTGCACTAAACCATGTCACCCAAAACTCCATCCAACCTGGCCTTGAACACCACCAGGGATGGCACTTACTCCACTGCTTTCTACAGCACCCTCATCATTGTCAGTGTGATGCCAGAAGAGCCATCCTGAGACAGTTCAACACTGCCCTTTTTCAACACCATCCTCACCCCTGCTCAATTCTCTCAGCTACAGCCTGTGGAGCACAAAGGATGGGGACAGAGGGGCGCTGAGAAAACACTCAGGAAAGCTGTGAACTGCACAGACAGCCCATGGCAATGGGCTTTTAAGAAGAAATCACTTCTGGTTCCCTTCTGAACTGGCCCTGAGGACCTGGACAGGCATGTGGTGTATCCTGGGCACTTCTCTGGAGCTGTGGGATGTTGAGAACGTGCTTGACACCAGAGAGATGGAGAAGGCTGGCCAGTGTCATTGTGAGACGTCTCTAAAACACCTTGGAAAGGCAAAAGCTGTCAGAGAGGTTTCTGGGGTCTTGGAAAAGGCAGACTTGAAACCAGTCTTCCAAAAGGGCAGGAAGGAGGACTGGCAGGATTACAGAGTGGCCAGGGTCACCTGGGAAGGTGATATGGCATGTCATCCTGCAGCCATCCCCAGGCGTTTGAAGGACAAGAAAGGGATTGCAGAACATGTGTGGGAGGGAAAAGAAGGAGATGTTTCGTACCCTGGCTTTAGCAAGGACTCTGCTGTGTGCTCCTGTAGACTCCTCATAGCCAGGTTGCTGATAGCTGGACTGAAGAAGTGGTGATGTGATGGGTGGCAAGTTGGCTGAATGATGAGGGCCAAATATCATCCACGGTCCAAAGTCCTCCTGGCAGCCATTTAGTGGTGGCTTCCTTCAGTGAGCAGCCCTTGACCACCACTGTGCAGTGTTTCTATTACCTCTCTGTACAATAGGACAAAATGGGCTTCCAGGTCCTTTGTGGAAGACACCAATTCACAGGGAGTTAAATTGAACAATATCAATTTAACACAGCCTGTAGCAGGAGAGATGGGCCACACAGATGACTGTGGTGGGTTAAACTTTGCTGTCCCTCAGGAGCCCAGCAAGCTTCTCTCTCATTCCTCCTCCTCAGCAGCACAAGGGAATAAAAACTGGGGTTCAAGATAAAGGCAGTTAACTAAAAACCAAAGGGGATTTGTTCTCTACTTCTCATCAACAATGTCTGTGCACCTCCTGGGAGTCAAAGATTCAGTATGTGTTGGGTTGCTTCGAAAGACAAATGTCTTAGTAATGAATGTCACCACCTAGAAAAGCCACCTCCTTTCTCTTAGTATTTTGCTGAACATGATGTCTTATGGTATGGAAAATCCCTTTGGTTAATTCAGGTGATCTCTGCCATCTTTGGCCCTGCCCAACCACCCTGAGTCTTCCAGCTTTGGGGGTTGGAGAGACAGCCTTCATATCGTGTGAAGACTGCTCAGTAATAGCCAAAATACTGGGGTGTGATCAACAGTGTTCTAGCCATGAGTAGGAAGCACAGCAGTAAATGGGCTGCTATGGAGAGAGCTAACTCCATCCCAGCCAGACCCAGTACAATGGTTTTCAGGAGTCTCTGGTTGGCAACCAGAGTCATACTAGGATCCAATGAATCTTTGTCCTTGGAGAGCTTTCTAAAGACAGAAGACACCACAGAAGACACAACAGAAAAAGGGAAAACAGAGAGGCAGATGTCGAGCTATAAAATGCACCAGTATAAATATAAGCAGTTCTTCTGAGGAACATTTCTCAACTCAAACTGTTGCCAGGAAATCTATTAGATAAATGGATGAGAAAAGCTTACTTGTATGTGCTCGGGTCCCGGGTCACAAGGAGGGTGATGGTTGGGTATCAGGTGGTCAATTGTGTCTCAGGAACTCAGAATCCAGCAGGAAGCCAATGGCTGTGAGGGGGGCTGTGAGGCAAGCAGAAGGCACCTGGTTGTCACATTGCCTGTGAGATCCCCTCTGCCTGAGGACCAAGGCTCACGCCAGGAAGAGGGCTTGGGGTTGGTTTCCATGTCTTTTCTGCCCCCCGGGGCTGGGGGTCAGGGCTTGGCCTTTCTGCTGCATCAAGCAAACCCAAGGTTCTCTCAGCATCTGATCTTCCTGCACATTCCCTTTGCCTACCTGCAACCATCTCCTCCAATGAGTCCCTGGGGAGGCCAACACGGGTGGTGGCCTTCAGTGGGACTCATTAATGCTTCAAGATACTTGGGGTTTTTCTTCTGACTTTGCCTTATGGCAAGGTGTATGCAATCTCCTTTCAGCACCTGAGGTTCAAGGGCTCAGCACCAAATGCACCGTGGGGCTCATTAAAATGAAGCAAGCCCTAACAAACAATGTCTCTGCCCATAATTTCCTTCCAGTCTTGTAGAGTTTATTAGAGAAGTTTCCTAGTGTAGTTGTGAAGAATGATCTCAAAGAGCTGCTCATAGAAATGACTTTTCATTGTAAAGTGTGCAGTGTATTACTTTTCAGTAGCAGAGGTGACAGCAGCCTTCTCTGACTGATACTGAGCCAGGGTCTCTCTACGGTAGTCGGGACTGATTGGAGTGGAAACACTCCTAAACTGTACACCAAGTACAAGCTGCCACCAATGAGGTTCAGCTTCAGCAAGGTGAGAAAATATCCTTGAAAATACCGTTTAGGACACCTTCTCTGAGATCTTCATCAAGTCTCCATCTGAAACCTCTGCAATGAGTTGTGCAAGTCATGAGGAGCTAAAGAACATTTCAGGCAGACACATGGCTCCTCAGGGCTTTCTGTGTTTGAATGAGCCCCAGTGCCTTGGTGGTGCTGAGTCCACGCACCTCAGCTACCGAGAGGAGACTGGAAAGCCCTCTCAAGAAGTCAAACCCAGAAGCAATTTCCAAGTACCTTGAAGCATCAATGGACCCCGCTGAGGCCATCCTGACAAAGCCTCCCCAGGGACTTGTTAGAGCAGAGCACTGGAGGCCGTGATCATGGGCAGGCAAAGGCAAAGTGCAGCCACTCTGATGCTGACAACACCCCTTCGTTTGTCTGGTGAAGGATGGGCAAACCCTGACCCCTAGGCCCTGGCTCGGGCTCTTCCTGGGGATGTGGGGAGTGTGGTGCCAAGTGAAGGATAATGGGATGTCACCTTCTGGCCTCCCCAGGGAGGTGCAAGGAGGCAATGATGCCCCATGGCCACGATGATGATGTGTCTTCTCATAAGCCTTAGTGGCAGAGACATCAACCATAGCCAAAGGGACAAAGACCCGGGTCCAGGACAGTCCAGGCAGATCCTCAGCAACCTGAAATCAGCTCTCCCGCAGTCCTGCACTGACATTCTGCTACTTGTCCTTCTTCTCCATCAGCTCGTGGTCATTGCAGCCATGGCTGCCCTCCTCTTCACATCTCCAGCCAGACCCACCTTGTCTGTCAGTAAGGGACCAGCCCTGGTCAGCTTATCCAATGTCTGTGTCGGAATGCTGGCACAGAGCAGCCACCCCAGAGCTGGAGCAGCCAGAAAGCTGATTTCATTCCCTCTTCATTCCTCGTACACTGGGGACATATCACAGACATGAAGTTGCTGCAAGATCATTTGTTCCCTTAAATACAATGAGACCCCCATTGACACATAGTCTGTGGGTCACACAAGGTGGGCAGAAGCAGGGGATGAATAATGACATGTCTTCGAAGACAACATCAGAAGTGGAAAAAAACCCCAATTGTAAAGCAGGAAAGACAGACTTGGCCTTTCATGACCTACACTGGGAGCCCTTTACAGAGGAAAGCAGGCAGGGTATGACTGCTGAAACACATCCAGTCACCAGCTTCCTCAGAGCATCCCTGAGCTCCTGGTTCCTCAGGCTGTAGATAAGGGGGTTCACTACTGGAGGCATCACCGAGTACAGCACTGACACCACCAGATCCAGGGATGGGGAGGAGATGGAAGAGGGCTTCAGGTGGACAAATGTGCCACTTCTGACAAAGAGGGAGAGCACGGCCAGATGGGAGAGACACATGGAAAAGGTTTTGTGGTGTCCCTGCTCGGAGGGGATCCTCAGCACGGCCCTGAAGGTCTGCACATAGGACAGCACCATGAACACAAAATACCCAAATGATAAAGAGGCACCAATTACAAGAAGCCCAACTTCCCAGAGGTAGGTGTGTGAGCAGGAGAGCTTGAGGATCTGGTGGAGAGGAGAGGTAAAAAGACAGGGAAAGGAGGAAAGGAAAGCCTCCTCACTAGAGTCCAAAGCCTGATTTATAGTGTCCAAAACCTCTTTTTGACTTTCCAAAGTCTTAGGGTTTGCTTCTAAAGCCTCATTTTTTGCTTCAAAGCCTCATTTGCAGGGTTCGAATGCTCAGGTTCAGTTCACAAAGTCTTTCCAGGATGTCATTTTTAAGATCCAACCAGGCATTTTTCTAGGTCCAAGCAGCCTCTTGAGTGTCCAAACTAGCCAAAGGGGTATTCCATACCACAGCACATCATGCCCTGTATAGAAACCGGGGGGAGTTACCTGGAAGGGACGGGTCGCTGCTGGGCCAGGCTGGGTATCATTCAGCGGGTGCTGAGCAATTGTATTGTGCATCAGTGCTGGTTAGTGTTTTCCTTTCCCCTGTCTAGGTTTATGCTCTGTCCCCTTTAAACCACGACAGCTCCACAGCAGCAAAGTTTGTTGTACAGCTGTTAATAGTGATTTTACCTTTTATGTTGTTGCTCCAGGTTTGGTTTTAAACTTCTTGTCATGATTTTGTTGGTTTTGTTGGTTTTTTTGGTTGTTTTTTTTTTTTTTTTTTTAAGAGCTCTGGCTGGTAGGTTAATTATTTATTTATAATTCCCATGGGTTTCCAGCCCTCGCTTTGCTCCTACAGCTGCTGATCCCCGGGTTTTCCATGTGGGTCCTTCCGTCCGGGTGTCTCCCGTGTCCGTCCCCTGGTCCGTAGTGTTCCCGTCAGCAGCCTGGCGGAGGTGCGGAGCAGCTCCTGCTCCCCAGC